CGTTTTATTGCGGCAAAAAATATACATTCACGTTTCCTATAAAACGTTCAATTAGTTTCGCTTAAAAGCAAAAAAGCTACTTTTTTACATGGCTATTTACAGGATACCATGGTTATTGCAAAATTCCTGTAAAAGCTGGAAAAACAATGTGTTGAGTACTTACCTATTGCAGTTATACCAAGAACTACCATGAGGCTCCCAAGGTCCCAAGCAAACCCAGCAAAAATCCGCTTTGCAGTTTTGATTTTTGCATACCATATGGTTGCATCCACCATCTTTCTCTATAGTTACATTGCATCTTGGACACTCTTTTGTGTTTGCTGCAATCCAGTTACTGGTCTCAGAATCATCATCACATTTTTTGATCCATTTTCTTAAGAGATGACATTTTACAGGATCATGCCAATTTTCTCCGCATGAAAAACAGAATGTGTGGTTGCACTTGCACGTTACACGATGCGGCTCCACATATTGCACTTTTATAGCGTTGCTGCAGTCTGGAGAAGGACACCATCTCAGTAGTCTATTGCACTGTAAATGCAGTTAACATAAATACAAGTTTTTAATTATATCGTTTGCTGCGAACCTCAACGAAGCTGTTGGTAATCAAATGTTGATATTTGAGCCTCACTTTCGAATCACGAACCAACCTCATAACACTGGCATCATCAACCAAAATGTCACATCCATGTGCAGCACAAGCTATGGTTTGACCCACTCCTTCCTCCATTATTTTGGTAGTTAAATATTCACACCAACAGTGAACGCAAAATCTATGGCCACATTCCAATCCCGTCATGTGCTGAAAGCCAGAATATATAAGTACTGATGCAGTTTGTATGGAAATAATACGTACAGATGCCGGTAAGACCATGAAGCAAATTTCGCACTCCTCTGTGCCATTAGCAATTTTCTTTGTTGGCTGAAAAGTGCATCAGCAATGTATTTTTGGCTTGCGTAAAAATTAACGCAAATACCTTGCTTTTTGTTGTGGTGATATTGAGCTTCTTAAATGGGTTGATCACTCTTGCTTCACTAAATAGTTGATCTTGATCTCCATCATAGAATCTTTCCATGAGCTTTTCTTTGTCCCAGCGAAAGTGATTCAATAAAATTCGAGTGGTTGTTGCTGGTATCTACAATGTAGATTCACATTGGTTTGTCTTCTATCAATAACTGATAACAATTGAAACAATTGAATATCCTTGATTTGAAATAACTATCCCTATGTGAAGGAATAGTTGTTGCTGGCTTACCACAAAATACTACTGACTGATTATATAATATGAACAGTTAGCTAGTTATATAAATGAGCTTAGTAAATAAACTAACAGTTTTGTTCGAGTTAAGCCAAATTATGACCGTTAATTGCAACAGTTTTAAGATTATATAGGTATATATTTATATTTATTGACATAAAATGACCCTGAGAAAGCAAATTCTGAATGATACCTCAACAACGGAGTTGACATCCTTAATTGAGTCCACCATGTGTTGGACAATCTCCTCTGTACTCAGAACTTCGAAAGGATAATCATCTGAATCCGTTTGTTTTTCTCGATGTCCTGTAACTTCAACCTCCATAGGGAAATCAACATCGTCACCACTAGATTCGTTTCCAGAATCAACGTCATCGTAAGTTTCTTCTTCAGAATCCATTTTATTATATGGATCAACGACCACAACTTATTATCTAAAGATGCGTTGTTTAGATAATAAATTTTCGAAGTGCAAAGAAACTTCCACTGATTACACACTCCTTATTCACACATTTCTTTTGTTGCCAACCCGGACCGTAATGATTAAACTGACATTTCAACCATTCCGAATTGACGCTTTCGATGCGCTTTTACGTCAAATAGTGTTTACCGATACGTACACGTTGATACTTTTTATTGTTAAGCGAGAAGCGGGAAAGAGCGAAAATATATGTGACGGTTGGAGCTCCTTTTCTACGGGCAATTTAATGAAAAATAACTCGTTATCAAATACATAAAAATATAAATAATAAATTATGTTATTTTTATGGAGGCCTGAGTTTGGCATTTATTTTCTCAGAACCCAGACGAAGATAATGTTTCGATTTTGAGTCATCCTCAGGCTATTGTCAAGATTTCTTTAAAAATTGCCTGGGAATTTTAGGGTATATGCATGCAGTGTACACTTTCGCAGTTTTTTTTAGAAACTAGGAAAGCTGCAGTTTTACTAGTGAAATTCCATTGAATTTTACTTTCGAGCGTATTTTGTAGATGAAAGCCTTGATAGAGTTAGATGTTAAATGAGCATCAGACTATCTTCAAGATTAACTAAATTTGCGATAAAATTTGGGGGTTGCACAATCAAAAGAAATTTGGCATTTAAATTCCCAAAAACCAGATAAATTGGAGAATTAGTTCAAGATATATTGTCTAGGGCAAAGTGCGTCCAATATGTGGAAAAGTTTAGACTTTGAGTCATCATGACCATACTATTTTCAGAATTTTTTATATTTCCTATAAAATTGTGTGGTTGTTAATACAAGCCTAAGTTATTTATTTATTACATATGTAACAATATAGAAAAATTGTCCCAGAATGAATCCACTATGTCTCAATACCAAAAATCAAATCAAAATCAAAATACCAAAAATATTATGACAAATTCCTATGATTTTTTTCTTAGGTTTCTTCAGACGGAAATACAGGCGCTCAATCTTCTTTAATAAAAGGCCGTTTTTAGATTTCCAACTTCGGACTAGTGTCAACACAATCAGGCAATGATTATTAGAGTCCGCAAAATAATGTTATCGCATTAAATCTAATTACTTACTCCGCAGAAAAAATTAACTAATACCTAATCGAAACTGACGAATTTTGCAAGCTTTTAGGCCGACTTAAATAAGAATATCTTCGTGACATTTTGCAAGCACGAGTGCTTTGCATCTCCAGAGGTCGTTTGCCAACCAGCTCGGAAAGATTTCCACGATACCCTACTAAAAGCTGGCAAAACTCGCCAATTTGATGGAATGTTTGTGCTTAACTTCTTAATTATGTTATCCTACTTAATTATTTACTGAAATATCTTACCAAAATATTTAAAAAAATGCGTCGTGTTGTATTCTAATGAAGCCCGAGAGCACAATTCAATCGAATGCTCTGAATATTAATTATTGTTAGAAACGCGCGAGTCTTAACAGAATTGGCATTATCTTATTTCTTTAATATAGGAAAAATAGCATCGACATCTTGAATACCTTGCAAATTTGAACCATATTAGAACATTATAAGAACTTACAAATAATTAATACTTATTGTCTAAGTTACAAAAACGTTTTTTAATTCAATCGATTTACTTGTTACGCAGAAAAAAATCAGCTAATACTAAATTGGAGCTGTTGAGTTTTTTGAGCTTTTTGGTCGCCATAAGTGGACTCAAAGCAGCAACCATCTCTGAAGATGTAGCCACTCGTGCTTGCAAAGCGTCAGAAAGAAAATTTTCACGACTTGAAAGTCCGAATAATTCACCAGTTTGAATCCACGGCTTCGAAAGCTGAACTAATTTGGTACGTACTTAATAATTATCGAAATTATCTTATCAAACATACTTAATAAAAAATAAAATGCGTCCTATATTGTTCTTTGATGACGCCTGACTTACCATACGGTTTATTACTCTGGAATTAATTAATTTTAAAAGCCCACAAATATTTATCAAAATTGGCAAAATTTTCTGGATAAAAATTTAATTTCTGTATTTTTAACACCTTACAACATGAACACATAAACGGTCAGCATCCCCTTAATAAATTTATTTCAACGTTTTAAAGTACACAGTTCCACAATATAATGAATAATGCAATTTTGCACGACTTTTTCTTCCATTACTGTTTCCCAATGGTTAATAAAAAAATTACAAATTCATGTAGGTAGTTCATTAAGTTACAGTTTATAGCTAAGCGAAATATAATGTTGAATACATTTTATTATTATTTTACCTTTGCTCTGGAACTAATGAACTAATAGTGGTGGGGCGTCGTTTAATACTTTGAGGGTACACAGCCTTAGTCAGTGGGCGGCGAAATATTTTTTTTGGCTAAAGAAACCGAAGTAAAGATTTCGTCAAGAAAATCGTGCACGTACTAAGTGTGTAGACCAGCTAGATGAGAACATCGAACTTGTGTGAACGAAGAGCGCGTGTAGAATGTTCCACCAATCAAATTAGCTATACAATGTACTAAGAAAATAATTGAGCGTCGCATTGTGAAGAATATTGAAAAAAAAACCATTTCATTTTAAAAGGAAGCCCCTATATGTTAGTGCAGAAAATTGAAGTAAAATTAATTCTACAAAAAAACTTCACTAATATTTTTTTCTAAAATAACAAGTTTCCAAAATTGTAAAACGTTTCATTTTTTGTAGCAATTAATTATTTTTTATTAGGTAAGTATAAAACATTTAAATTTAAATAAAATACACTCGTAAATATTCTTGTTGAAATATGCATGTCGACTTACCTGTTTTCAAAATTCGGAAGCCTTCTCGAGCTTGTTATTGCAACTTAAAAATTTTTTTTTTATTATTTCTGCAAACAATAACTACTTTTAAATGATCCTAAAATTGGCGATTTTTACTTACGCTTCGTTCCTTATTCTTACTACTCAAGCTGAAATGAAGAGGTGTTGTTAAAAAGGTTGAATATAATGAAAAAATCAAAGACCACAACGTTACAAGTCATAAATAAATTTTACATTTATTAAGCACTTTTTAACAAGCATTGTAAACGACTGTAAATTTGACGTATAGTTAAGGTTACAATTTAAGAAGATATGAACCTATAATTGCCTCACGTAAATTTTATTAATTATTTAGTATTATAAGATAAATATGACGATACAAGAAATTGATTTTAGACTATCAGTAACTGTTCATGTAAGAGGCTAACTTTTCCTAAAGAACTCACAATATTACGCAAGTGTATACTCCTATCACACGTACTATCAAGTTTTAATGAAAGCTGAAAACTTGGAGAAACAAGTCAGTATTTCACTTTTTGCTAGGAATTTTTTTCGCGATGCAACCGTTGTTGGACACCTTCACCACTTGCCTAATTCGCAAGGAAAACTAGAGGCAAAAATATAAAGGGTACTACAAAAAAATTACCTTTCCCGCAAATAACACGTTTATGACTCAAACCACTATGTAACATATCAGCAATTCAGTATAGAAAATCTAATAAAATGCAAACCGCATAATAGATAATAAAAATGTATGGTTCGGTTACTACACTGCCACGTAGGGCAGTACATAGTATATTAGATAACATTATACAACAATTTTAACATACAAGATGACTAGTATAGACCGAGCTGTTAATTAAAAATTTGGAAGTTAATATTCTGGTTAAATCGAAAGCTGTTATTCATTACCCAGCAGTGATCTTCTATAATTTTAAATTGGACTTCCGATGCATTGTGGCAAATATAATTTTCAAAGCACGTATAAATTCGATATTTTGCGTGAATTAAAATAGCTGTAATCAATGTAATCCTTTGGGGGAAATGATGTTAAATTTCCAAAAGACCAGCTGGTTTCAACCAGAACGAACGAACCTTGTCCTCCCCTCAGTCAAGCCTAACCAATTTAATATATTAAAGATATAAACGAGATGCCTTTTTATAAATATTAACTCTATCACTTGAATATACAACCGTCTCCATTATCAATGTATAACAGCATACAAATACAAAATACTCCAACTAAACTGCTCACAGAATTAAGTAGATTATTTCTAATATTATACTAATTCAAAACTTGATTCCGTGGGCGGTTTCCTGTATTGTTATGCCAGGGGTATAAATAAATTATGTAAAATGTTAGGACAAGGGCTACATCTAGCAAATAATCTTACGTGTCACATTCCAATGTTCAGCTCACATCTAAGAATCTGAAAACACATTACGTCAATTTTTTACTATTATTATGGCATACTAGGTTACCGTACTGCTGACTCGAGGCCTGCCAAGCGCTGTTCGAGTTTAATGAATCTGCATTAATTGTATCAGCTACTGTGTTGGCATTCTTTACACTTTCATCTGGAATTCTACAAATTTCTATTTTAACATCTCTCTTAAAATGCTATAGGACTAAAGAAAACTTCATTGTCAATATAACAAAAAAAGACTGCACTACAGCTTCTAATCGTACCATTTGCAAACATTTAAAACTATTTAATATGATAAAACATATTTTATATCATAAATTAACATTTGGCAAAGTGAACTGCTGCTTTCTGATCGATAAAAGAATATACCATGAGATATGGTTTTCAACTGCACATTTTCTCGTACTTTTTTCAACGTTTACGACTTTTTTTTAATAATAATTAATAATTTTCCATTACAGAACATATTACGGGGTTCTGATAAAATAACTACTAAAGAAATAAAATAAGTGCAAAGAAACTGTACAAAAGAAATGACGTTTAATGTTAGCAACATTAAACAAATTTGTTGAATTCCATTACTTAATTAGGCCAGGAGAATTACGACGAAATCTTTCAAATATGGCTCTAACTTGACGTAACTTAGATAACTATTGGAATCGCTCGGAAATGGTATACCTATTGAAAATAGGTCGAGGTGCGCCAGCTTCAAAAGGTGTGCTATTTGGATAAACATCAAAAGTGAAAAAATGCAAAAATCGCGTTTTTTTTGGAAACCCGCGCATATTACGCGGTAAGTATACATTTTAGAGGAAAAATAATCTTATAACTTTGTTATGAAATTTTGGAGTTGGTCCGATATCCGCAGAATTGAAATGTTCGCTGCAAAATGCTCAAAAGTGCAAAAAAGTAGGTAAACAACAAGGTAATTTTAAATTATTAGTTAACAGTGAAAAACGAACCGAATCACGCCATACATCTAAAGAAAAGTACTTGACTGTAATACAAAAGATGGGACGGACAGTTTTTGCATACTGCAATTGCTAAGTAACCTACCTGGGAAAAGACCCTATTTCTGACCCTATTTAATTTTGTGCCAGGCTCAAAGTTATGAATATCTTTTGCGCCCGCGCTTTTACACCTTCTTGGACCCAATCATATTATATTATAACTGTCATATACAATTGCTATTTTAACAATTTTCCAATTTTTAATAACTTTTTGAGCGGTTTTAAAGTTTGAAAATTTTGGCTTTGAAAGAAATAAGCCTGTAAAGCGGGACTTGCGAGTGGGAAAACAATCGGAGTGTAGAAAAATAGTACTCGGATCACAGGTTTATTTATTTAAAAGACAAAATTTTCAAACTTTTTTAAACCGCTCCTAAAGTTAATAAAAATAAAAAATAAATGGTAGGTTAAGGGTCCAAGGTGTAAGTAAAAGCGCGGCCGCATAAAAATATACAGAACTTTCAGCCTGGCACAAAATGAAAAAAAAAAGGTATTTTTTCGCGGTTGATTATTTAGCAATATTGCAGTCTGTCCCATCTTTTGTATTGCAGTCAAGTACTTTTCTCTAGATGTATGGCGTGATTCGGTTCGTTTTTCACTGTTAACTAATAATTTCAAATTACCTTGTTGTTTAACTACTTTTTTTGCGAATCTGCGGATATCGGTACTCTATCTGGTAGAAAATTTGATAACAAACAAATTTGAAGATTATTTTTCCTCTAAAATGCACACTTACCAAGTCATATTTGAGGGTTTCCAGAAAAAAAAACGCGATTTGTTTTTTTTTTATTTTTTGTTGCTTATGCAATAGCACACCTTTTCAAGCTGTGTACCAAGCAGGTATACCGTTCCCGAGCGATTCCAATAGTTATTTCAGTTACGTCTCGTTAGAGCCATGCCAATCTGTAGACTCCTGGCCTAAATGTGATTAACTCCTAAAGGTTTTTGGATTTAAAAAAACACACCATCAGTTACTGTACTTACCAAATTAAAAAGTAAATGAATAAAAAACAGAAATAACGAGTGAAAGTTAAATTTTGCTGTAAATGCTTTATTACTTTAAGCGTGATGTTTTCATACATTGATTGGGCCACAGCGATAATGCACAAGATCGAAGGAAAGGTATATATATTTTCAATGTCCTACAAAAAGTGCGCATTTCATTTGATTTCGTAATCGCTCTGAATAAGGTATACAGATACTCATGTAGTCAATAAAAGACCAAAAACGTATTTTAATAAACATACTTAATAGCAATTTTGAATCCTTTAACTAATTATCTACAAATATTCAATGGGATTAACAAAATAAACACACTGCAAAGAATTCAAGACAATTTTAAAATAACTTGATGGTCTTTTAATACTACATGAATAAGCCAGCTAATATATCGTCTACTTTACTCATAAGCTGCATTGCGTAGCACGTTTGCATCTGACTATAGATTCAATAATAGAAAAATATTCATAAGGAAATTGAGAAACAATGAAAATACACTTTGCTGACCAAACGTTTAACTATGAGCAAAATGTGCAATATTGGTCACCATATATTAGGATAAATCAACTGCCTCAACAACACGTCACCACAAAGCTTAATCTTACTATTAACTCATCCTGCTAAAAATTAAACAAAGAAACATGCACGAATGGACACAAAATTTAAGAATGGACTACCATTTTGTGGATATTGATTTTGATTTCATAGACAATGAAATTTTTCACACTGTTATTATCAAAACCTTTGCAACTATTTATAAATCCTAAAAACTAATTTATCACATATAAGTGGGATTGAAAGATTCAGCTAATATGGGCGGATTAAGTAGTCGAATTTGCGTTTCGACCGAACGTTAAGTTTGCACCTAGTTTAAAATATAATTAAATAACGATCTCCCAATTAATTATTAACGCATCTTTATAATTTCGTATTTACCATTACCTAAAAGTCAACATTTCTAAATAATCATTTTATATCTCCTAGTCTTGGTCGACAATTGTAGAAAGTTCACTTAATAACTAGTTTCTAAAAAAGTTTACTTTAGTTGCAAAGGTCTGGAAACCAATAACTTTCTAGACATTTACTGAAATATATTGTTTAACATTTTAGTATTAACTACTCAAGGATACATACATATTGTCAACAATTCCAACATCCACGTCTTTGCCGTTCTTGGTGGTAGAACTATCTGTAGTACCATTCTCTTGTTTCGTTCCATTCAACTTGTTTTCATTAACTTGATTCACTTCATTCAGCTGATTTTCATCCATCTGCTGTTTATTCTCGGAAGAGTTCTCATTTTTATCTTGCGAATTCTGAAAAAGGGACCTTTTATGAAACAGCAGTAAGTCGAACAAAAAAAAAACAAATATCGCTAAGTAGAAAGATGTAAGAAAGTAAAGATGAAGTAATTATTATTTACCTGTTGTGACGCTGTATTAGAATTCTTGCCTCTGGTCCTGGACATAATCATTTCAACTCTCCTGCGGCGCTCTTCTCGTTCTTTCTCTTCATTTTCCAGTTTCTTCTGAAGTTCAGCCTTCTGCTTCTCTGCTTCCTCCTTGGCCTTTTTATCGGCTTCTTCTTTCAGCAGTTTCTGTCTCTGTTCTTCTTCCCGTCTTAACCGCTCCTCTTCCTCACGTCTCTGTGTTTCCCTTATGGCCTAAATAGACGGAAAATTGATGCAAATATTCAACATGTAAAGAAATAAACTCCAACCTCTTGTAGTCTTTCTTGCTCGGCTTGCCGTTGCATCTCAGCGAGGAGTCTAGCTTGTTCTTCTTCTTTAAGTTGCCTCTCATATTCAGCCTTTTGTTCTGCTTCAATCCTTTGCCGTTCCAATTCAGCTTGTCTTTCCGCTTCTTCACGGATCAACCTTCTTCTCTCAGCCAAAGCAGCTTTGGCTTCTTCCTCAGTTGTGATTCGTGGCTTTGATACAGAGGTTGTCATTTCACTCGACTCGTTAGAGTCTGGTTTTAATTCTTTCGTTTCTGTAACTATTGCAGCTGCACCGGGGACCGTCGTTGTTGCGGTTTGAGAATGCACCGAGGTTTCAATTTGTTGCGTATTTGTTACATCTTCAGATGCACTTCTCTCATTGTTGATGAATTCTTGAATTATGTTATCTCCGCGGGTAGCTGGTTGCGGCTGAGGCGGCTCTTGTGGTGGAACCTCAAGAATGGTCGCTTGCTCAGATTTAGGTCCATCTACTTCTTGTGCCTGATATACAGGGGCTTCCCTATTTCGAAAGAAAAATTGAGTATTCTCACCTATAAATACCATATGCTCCACTGCAGCAAGATATATTGTATAACTTACTTTGCTTCTGAAGCTAAAGGTGTAGGTGTTGATTCTTTGCTCTGAATCGGCTCTAGAGGTTTTGCAGTCGGTTCTATAGGCTTTGACACCTTTTCCTCGGGTTTTTTCTCTTGTGTCACTTCCTTTTTATCCACTGCAACGATTTTTGGTGCCGTCTCTTCAGCAGGAGATTTAACTGGCTTACTTTTTGAAGAACCCTTCTCAATTCTTTCAGAAGTATTTGTTTTGGATAAAGATTTTCGGGCCTTGGGAAGTGGAGGTTTGTGGTCACCTCTATCGAAACTACTCCTGATTTCGTGAGTAACCCCGGTAACTGCGATGCTAGCGGGGCGAGGTCTGCGTGGAGCACCGGAAATACGATGTCGGACGTTAACAGAACTAGTGATGCTGTTTGTGCTCTGTTGACTCATAGAGCTACTCGGTCTAGACGAAGCTATATGTACAGACATTAATTAAAACTGTTATTGAATTAATAATTAAAGCTAATTAGTAAACATTTCAGGTATTTTAATTTGGCTAAGTTAAACACAATGACAGAAAAGTGTTAGTACTATTTTGGAAATATCTGCATATGTTGTATCCAAGAAATGAATTAAAAATCCAGCAACTGAAAACTTAAAAAAAAATGTTAATGGAATACTTAATTAACTTATATGCATCGTTTCCTCAGATATATGAGGGTTATTTACAATGCTAACAAAGAAATACATATAAAGTATACTTGTAAATACTCTTGCAGTTTAGTCAAGCTAGTTTCGCAATAAATTGCATCCTGCTTACTACCCAGTACTCTACCTATGAAACTTGCAGTTATCCTCGCCCAAGTCAATATTTGCTCGCAATTCTATTTCTAAAAATGCTATGCTAAAGTGCCTGAAAATGTGCAAAGTGCTGTGTAATTACTGTTGCGATAACTAACCAATTTTTCTGTATACTCAAACGTGTAAACTAGTCTAAAAGTGACCAGTTTGGCAATTTTAAACCAGTTCACATCCACCACCATAAAAAGGAAATCGATAAAATATTAAAAGCTTCACAAATTTTATAATGCAAGGTTTTAAACAGCAACAGTGATGCTTGTTAAGACTCAAGATTCTAATGGGTATTAGATCGATCAACGATTTAAATGGAGGATTGACAGTACATGAAAATATATACATCCCTATCACCTAGATAGTTCACGTGTTGATAGCGAAATGAGACTCAGAAGACATGAAACCTAGAGTCATACGCAACGAAGGCATTTATTGAAGGAATTGCAGATAAGTCCAGATGTTATACGGTACGTCCACATCAGTAAATTTGTTCGTCGCACTTGGTACGGCGCAAATTTACATTTTTCGCTTGTTTTAACAAAAATATAGAAAACAATAGAAAGTTGGGCGCACGTTTGTCGTTAAATTACGCTACGTACGAAGTTAGGCCATTTCGAGGTGATAAAAGTGTTTTAATAGTTGAGGGACGGTTTATCCAGTAGACTATTTGTCTTGCGTTTCGGTTCTTGCGACAATAAATTATATTCCCGTTTACAGCTAGTCTTTCTACTGAAGTCCTTCGAACCCCGACAACGCAGCCATACTAACTGAGGTGCATTTTGCGAAAAAAAGAGAATGCTTTACTTCTCGTTCAGGAGTATCAAATTGTTAGAATATTTCTTCTTTTCTTTATCTTTTCTTAAACCGATATTGATTTTCTGAAATGAGTGTCCATTCTCTTCAATTTAGGTCTACTCAAATTAGGTAAAATTTCGAATTCGGATTGTGACATTCGGCAAGAAATGTTTTAAATTGCCCCGTTGTCTCATCGATTTTAAGGTTTTTAATAGCAGTTCACTAGTTCTGGATTCTGTACTGAAAAAGTTTCGTTATCCAGTATCGTCTACGTTTATTATTTCCTCATCTTCGATTCTCATTATTAAGCCGTTGTAGGTAATCCATGATTATCCACCCCACACTTCTCTTTTTTTTAAGTTGGGAAGAGACGATAGCTTCACCGCACACAAATTAACTCGGCGCCAATTTCTTTGAATTAAAAACCGACAGCCCCATGAGCAATAGCATGTGTTGTATCTGACAAAAATATTTGTGAACTTCTTTGTGCCGCACATAGTCCACATCAATAAAAAATTCAACAAACACAAGCAAATTTCCGTCAAATACAACGTACTACATACATATTTATTGATGTGGACGCACCTTTACGACTGTGTGTTTATCAGGTAGGAAAAAAGTGAAACATTTTATAATCTGCAAAACCTTCTAATAAAATTAGACCGAAACCAACTAAATCCTGGCCCAAGAGTTGAGTTAATAAGACACTAGACCCAATGCCTAGAATAAATGACAATACGAAGCAAATTACGCGTACCCTCACTGGTACTGCCAGATTGTAGAGCCATTTGCAACTTCTGTTGTCTCAACTGAGTGGCTCTGTTAACTCTTGGAGGTGCCACAGGCCTATCTGGACTAAGGTGATGCAAACTGCGACTGTCTGCTTTGCTCAGAGGTTGCCTGGGACTCAATTTGGTACCCACATGCGCCAGATGGCTCATACTACGAGTTACTGAACTCTTAGGAGCCATGCTGGCTTCGTTAAGGGCCGGCAATATTGGTTTCCTCGGTTTAGCAAGCTGGTCTAAGCGCGACATTGAATACGCCCTACCTAAATTTTTTTGCACATTACGTCTATGTATTGAGCTATTTGGATCTGGTTACATAACAGCAGAGTCAAAATTAATCTGTGGAATCCCGAATGTTTTTATAAACTGGCAAAAAAAACTGCAGAGGAAAAATGGAAATACTGGTAATTTCACATCTACGAAGCGGTTTGACGTATTTTCATAAATATACCATTAAGACTTTTAACAGATGTTCACATTAATGCAAAATTAACTATTCAATCAGATTTATAATTGATCGCGACGAACCAAAGCATAACACATAAAAGCCTGCAATAGAATCAGGATTAGCCGAGGAAAATTGTAAATTAATGCGTTAGAACTGTTTACTATTTATTATTGCAATAAAGAAAGTCTTGGAAAATGCTACATTATAGTTAACATCAAACCGCTTTAATGCGTTATCGCCAAAAATTACCTAGAGCAAATCAACATATTAAAGTTTTATCGCTTTCATACGCATTCCAGCAACTTAACTATCCAATCGATTAAAATATCAAAATGTCAACTAAAAGAAATATGCATTCGGTTAATTAATCAATCAATCCAGTCAGTAAAAGTCTATGAATGAGCTTAGCAGTACCTGGAGAATGGTTGAGAGACTTGCGAGATGTGGAGGAATGGAACGAGGAGTCCCTCGAAGGTATCGTTGGCACCAAGTCGGTTCTACGTCTTCCCAAGTAGCCGCTGGCACACCCTGCTGGAGTGGTAGGGCTTGTCAAACCTAAAAAGTGTTCTCTATGGTTGTCACCATTGCCTACTTGCATCTGGGGGTCTTTACATTTTATAGAGTACAGAAACTTAGCGTTTAAGGCAAAAGTTTCATATTTCTAAATAAAGGATCAACCCAGTTATACATGGTTAAACGCCTAAGAATAACTTCAAGTTTCCCTTAACAGCATAAATCAAATTCTTTTAAGGAGAAAGTGTTACGCTTAATTATTATGGGATACCCTGCATGAGAAGCATTTTTAGCATCATAGTAATGAAAAGCTATTAACATGATTTAGGTACCAATGTTCACGTTCCGATTTCAGGTTTCTCTATACAATCGATATTTATTCGCAAATCGTCGCGTTAATACTTTATATAATATAACAAGTGTACTTACATGGCTATTTCGAATTATACAGGTAGCTTCATTAATTTTGCAACCAAAATAAAATTGAGTTTCGTTGGACAACAACATGGAAACAAATACATATTCTTAGTAATGATAGGAAGAATCAAACTAATTCCATGATTTCGAAGCAATAACAAGATTCGTAATATGGGGCATAATTTTGAGACAATCCATTTCATAAAAGTCGAGAAAGAAAATGATATTGAAGAACGATATAATTTAACTGATATTAAAGGAAAGACTGATATTAATACGATAAATTTCATTTAAACTCCAGTCAAATAAATAATGAATTTCAAATAATTATTAATAAAAAATTAACAAATTGCGTGAACTAATGATTGCTTGTTGTTCTGTTATCACGGTATTGACAATAACTTGGAACAAAGGAAATGCAACTGGTTAATTTAAGACCACATTTACATATCTGAATTCTTGCATTTTATCAAAATAATACGACTGACTATATCGATTATTAAGTACGAGATTATAGGACGATCACGATCATTTACCTCACTAATTTATACCAGATTCAAAACCAAACTTTGAAAAATTAAATTAAATTAATAACGGAACACCACGTTTATTGAACACGATCAACATAAAAGCCAGTACGAAAATATTGAAATAGATAAAATAGCTTAAACTACGGCCGAAGGTATCTAATGTTTTCACCAAAGTTGTCAAAGTGTTTCAAAGTTGTCGCAAAATCTCAAGCAAGATTTTTCGGGGAGCAAGTTATATCTCAACAGTTTTACACATACTTTATCCTTATTCTTATGCAAAGAAACTTATCGTGATTTTATTCGCGTATTAATAAATCAACATGTATAGAAAAGTTATTACAAACGGATTTGTGGAGCTTTTAAAAGAAATAATACCAATAAAGTTCGTGATTTGCTGACCATATGTGCAGCCGTGAATGTGTATGTGCATGCTAAAGTAAATAAAAAAATACATTCTAGTGGAGCAGCTAAATGAACACACCTATCACATATAACTACTACATTGTAACGTAGTATTTTGCATATTTAATCAGCTTATATCAAATCCATTCTTATCTATAGGAAACAAATCCTAATTAATTTATAGTAATTAGGCATTTCCTAATAGTTCTCTTAATTGCTTTATAAAATTTTTGAACGTTCAATCATCAAAGACAACTATCTACTAAACAAAACACAACAAAGTCAAACGCATGCTGTTTTTCCAATTGAAAACAAACATAAAAAAATCTTGAAACAATCTTTCAAAGACATCTACATATATATAAATATACGAGATGTCGATTTGAAAACTTCGCACCCTTAATATCTTTCTTGCAGTTAAAAATATGAAAAATAGGAGACACGTCAATTTTATTTGTAAGGGGGACACTAAATGAATATTTTGAGCTTTCTTGTTCAACCCCCTAGGAGGGGTAGATGTCCCTTAGAATCAGTCTTAAATGGGAATGGGGCTGAAGTGGCACATAGAAGGAGACCAATTGAATGTCCTCCAAGTTCGCCGGATTCAACACCTTTAGACTTTCAACCCCCTGTCTTTGGAAACATCTTAAATCCATTGTTTATAAAACACAACTTGCTGATATTGATAATATTAAAAGGCGAATTCGGAATGCTGGCCAATTCCCGATGAAGTGTTACGAAATGTTAGGGAGGAAATGGAGGGAGAAAAACATACGTTATTATTGTTTAGATCCCATGGGTTTTCTCTTCAACAAACATTTTTGTACAAATAAAATAATCAATAAATAAGAAATCAATTGATTAAAGTATATTTTCTTCCTGTTATACAACGATTTAAACGGTGTAACCTAATCTTCTAATCATTTGTACCCGAAAGGAGACCCAGTGCCCTAATTTTTGTGTAAACACTAACCTGAAAACCAAAATCTCATGGCAAACTTTACTCGTTTCTGCAACTTTGAAACGAGATTATTCGGAAACCTCTGAACAAAAGGCAACAGAGTAGGAGACCCCTGAAAAGAGAATTGAAGGCCCTTTAAAATGATCTGGCACCTGACCCCCATTCCCATTTAATAACCTAAAGGTGAAATCTACCCCTCCTAGGGAGTTGAAACAAGGCTAAAACTATTAATTTAAAGTGTCCTCCCTTACAAATAAAGTTGACATGTCTCCGATTTTTTATATTTTTAACTGCACGAAAGATATTAAGGGTGGGAAGTTTTCAAATTGACACCCCGCATATTTTGGTGTTTTGCCTGTTCCCAAAACCGTAATCGCGATATGAGCTTTCATTGAAACTCATTTAAAAAAATAAATCTGTACATACCTTCACCGGCTCTCTCCAGTCCTCCAGCAGAAATTGCTCTTTTCTTGCTTCCAGCATCCAAATCTCTTTCACTCTGTCTTCTAGTCAAAGAGCTTCCAGTTGAGGTAGATGTAATGTTCTGGGTTGAAGTGGCTCTACGATGCCCCCAAAAAGAAACACTTAAATCCGTAGGATCCAACATGCGAGGTGTAGAAGACCCAAAGGCAAAAACTAAATTGCTTCGTTCGTTTCGTTTCTTTGATTCTATTCTAGCCTCTCGTTCTTGATTTCTTCGAAGAATCGATTCTAATCTATCTCTTTCAGCATCGTTAATAGCTCGTTTCCTCTCTTCAACCTGATGTCTTTTAGTGTCATCCTTTAGTCTCATTTCTTCCAAACGCCTCCTTCGTTCATGTTCTTTCTGCTCCTTAAACCTTTGTGCAGCCAGAGCTTGTGCTTTAATTTCTTCCAATTTCTTTTGCCGTTCTTCATTTTGCCTTTCCTTAAGGAAGCGTAGTCTCACTTCTTTGTCAACTATAAAGAAACAACAACAAACAACATTACAAGAGAGCAGTTATTGCATAAGCAATCACATACTAATATTGGTTGTAAGTGATAAACAAAAAAACATATCGGCAGGTTAAAGCAAAAATATGTATTTATTGACGAGACACAAAATCAAAGCCACTACTAAGTTTATTGAACTGCACACCGGCATCAAACAGTAAGGTGATTCCTATTTTTAACAAAAATAAACACGAAACTGAGACACATTTTCTTTTAATTGCTTTCCGCTCCGCACTAGGTTCAGGGCAGACTGGCACATAGTTTTCCGGAAATTGAATGTCCTACTCCTTCGGGAGTGTTCTTATCCCCAATTAGTTTTCTGCCTGCATCAGAAATGATTGTCGATTTTGGGATAGTGTGTAGTGCCTACCACCATTTAAATAACGTAACATTTTTTGACAAATTTTAATTGGAAATTCTACATTTATGATCGGTTTTTAAATCGGTTGAGTCAGTTAAATTAATTTAAGTTTATTGGCTGTCGCATAATTAATTTGAAACAGCTCTGTCAGCTTGTATGGAATATTTTAGCAAATATTCACACCGCCAATACGTTTCCGAAAAGACGCATATTTTTATTTGTTTGTTTTGCATTTACCTGCATTGAAAACTTGTTAGTTTTTGACTACTACTAAACCGAATGTCCGAACGAAATTTGATGTTGTCCTTAATTACATTATAAATTCGAAGTATAAAAATTGCTTAACGAACATTTTAAATACTGAAGCTTCAGTTTTTAGGTCACATAAAACTATTATTAGACTCGGATAATCCCTTTGTAAATTACAAGTATTTTCAGGTCATATGCGGTGTTGGAATATGGATAATTACTTAGTTGACTGCTCTAATAATAAATCTTGTGTCAATACGAATTTTGCGAAATAATCCGTATAATGCGATAATATTATAAATACTTATTTTGCAATAAACTCTGTTCAATTAGATCTTAATTTGTTGAGTATGATGTGCATTATATTTATCGCTTACAAATGATCCTGCACTGTTTGGGTTAGATACTAAATAAATAGTAAATAACAAATAACATACATAACGGTGATTGTGTGGGTTGAAACGTAATGTGTCAACCGTTTTCAGTAAAAATTCGAGATAAGTGCTTATTCCGACAAAAAAGAACACCCAAAGGTAGTAAAGTAAAGCTTAAAGCTCAATAAATTCAAACAGAACATAATCCTTATTTATCCAGCAAGACAGGTGATAAACTATCAACATATTGGAATGTATTTAACAAAAGATCTGTGGCACGTATAGGCAAAAGCCATAAGATTCACTAGCGTGAAAAATTCAACATTAATCACTAGTGAAATTAGAAACTATATTTTCATGTATATATAGATACAGATATGCACTCAAATTTTGCAATAAAGATATATTCGTAAGTAACATGGCAGAAATAAGGAAACTGTTTGAATTCCAGCATAGATTCAGATCTAATATGTTCATAGTTCGTTGAGTCGATAAAAATAATAAATAAGTAAATAAAATAACACTTTAAATTACATGTTGAGAAACGGTTTTTTAAAAGGAAGAGGAAACAATTTCAGCACCACTACTGACTAATAGAACAAAGAATAACAGCAAAGAAACTCCTTATACGGGTGCTTCATGAATGCCTCGTAGGTACGTTCATATACAATATAAATCAATTGGATATGTTACTGCAATATACATGATAAAATTGTCGGCTTTACTTTGGCATTCCAATATAAAGGTCAACAGGGAATATTGAGAAAAATTCTGGCAAAGAATGACTTTTCTATTGAAACTTGTTTAATGGCTTTCCTCGATTATACTTCGGACGACTTTGCTACTATTAGATCGATAATTGTTGAAAAACAAAACTCTTGAACTATTTGTCAAATGTTGCTGCAGTTATGAGAGCAAATCAGTTTAAACATGAAAAAATGCAGGAACATACAATTAGCCATTGTCTCACCAATATGCAACGTAAAATTGTCGATTTTATCTAACAACTTCCTTTCGAATTCCATTCAGGAATCTCGGAAAAAGTGCAACAGAAAATTAATTTTCTATATAAACCTTCGAATAATTTCTTATATTAAGACAATTTTTGTGTAACCAACTTTTTTGAGTTACTTAACTTCTTCGCCTCGGCTTTATTTTATATAAAACATCGTTTGATTTGCTGTTGCAACATAAACAGCGAGTAATCAATTCTCAAATTTTTTATATGTAAGTGGTATACAGATGCATAAAAAAATAGAATCTTGCAGTTTAACCCAGCTGACTTCCTATATAAAAAGTGCTGGTTGGAGCCTTTCCCAAACTTCAGTGAAATGAAATGAAATCTGATCTCTCGGATGTTTTCCGGTGCATAGACCGGTGTTATTGCTAATCACCCTATATATATCCTGTTGCAGATGCAAGTGTGAAACAGTTCGCCATTGACTAAGAAAGAAACAAGCAACATGAAGGTATTACCAAAACAAACAATTCACAGCTTCAAAGAAATCCTAATGAACAAAAAGCCATAAGAATGCAAATATATTCACGTGCATGGAGTATCACGACTGGTTTTTTATGCATCGCAATTTTCCAATGACATTGAACGTTACAAGGGAATTATGATCCGACGTTTGTATGAGCAACTGTGTAATTAAACAGCCATGAGTGTTTGAATTAGACAACAAAACAGCTAAAAATAATTTAAACTGGTCATAATTCATGGCGGAAGATATGAGGCAAAAAACCGTTGGTGAATATTAGTCGGGGTTTTGAGAGATTAAAATAGTTATTTAATTCAACATGCAATCAATACCAGACTCCGTAACGGTTTTGAAAAATAATTGCTAATCACTCCCTTCATATAAGCGTTGTTTTAACGTGGCCAAAGCCACCAAATTGTTGCACCAATCGAAGTATTTTCTAGGTATTTTAAGTAGCAACTATGACAAATTACTTTTATTGAACCGTAACAAAGTTTCACTATGCACAGCTAAAAAACGTCGTTTCTGTAAAATTGCATTTTCAATAGATGGAAGTACAGGTTGTTGTGAAGCAGCATGTCGTAATCATTTTCGATTGGGTTTTACATTCAAAATGGGTATTAAAAACAAAGAAGCTGATTTGCTAATATTACAAAATGTTTGATTATTTTGAAATAACGCGATAAAACGTTAAGAATGTACATTTTTACCATCACCTGGTCTGTCCATTCACTCGAAACAGCATTATTTTTATTGCATTCAATCGCATCTAGACTAAACCAACTGTAAATACTACGTTAATTGGTGAATTGCCAAAATGAAAATGATTTTTTACAGTTGCCAAAAGATTTGTAAACACCAGTTAGAAGTTCAAGGCAAAAACCTTCATTTTCAACACTCAAGCAATTCAAGGGTAGCTTTATTTTTGGCGATCATTTTAAGGCCGTCAATTCTGGTTACTTTTCCTTTTTATTAATCTATTTCAAGCAATATGAAAAATATTAACTTTAGTTTAACAAACGTCTTGCCTTAAAAGATTTGGATTTAAAAAATGTATATGAATTCGTTTGAACACTGAAAAAAACAAGCTTTATAGTAGCCTCGTAGTTCTAAATGAAACAAATTAATATAATATAATTTACTTCTTAAACAGTCTGAAAAAACAATGTGACCACAATACTTTTGAAGAATACAAGCAATTAATCTGTCATTATCAACCCAGCAAAGCCAACGTACAAACATATTTGTAATACGCTTTTATCAAAGAATTATTAGTGAGCTGTTGACTTTTAGAGTAATCATATTGCAAAACCGACTTAAGTAATTAATAAAGAACGGAAACATTGTCGATGAGATGTCCACAAATATCTCATTTGAATAAAGTGATTGCGCGAAAAAAAATTATTTAAATAGCCATGTCTATATATAGGCATGACAAGAGAATTTGAATTAATTATCTGTTTATTGTAAAATCAATATGGGCAGGAGAATCTTTCATGCAAGGTGTAGAAATATAAATAAGATTAGGTTCATTAATAAGCAATGACCAAACTGACTGGTTGATGAGGTTTGTCTGTCCAGATTGGAATTCGCGTAAAAATTCGATATGATAAAACTGAACAATATTTTGTAATTTTTAAAATAAACATTCCATTGATATTACATGCTTTAATTAATTAATTGCCCAAAGAAACACAGTTATGGATACATAGTTATCTTACATGAGGTTTTTCCGTAGACAGCAAAAAAAAATTGAAGATTATTAAGTGAAGTGTTCCTCGCGCTGAACTTCCGATGTTCATTTAATTTTTAAAACTGAAGACAGTGAGATGGTTTGAGAGATTAATTGCCAGTTACTTTTATTAAAAATCAAACAATGAAAAACTAAATTGTAGAAATTAACTGCGTTGCTGCATTTACTAAAATAAAAATTAACTCAACAAGAATATTTAACAAAGAACGTGTAGGCGCATTCGATGAGCTTTTTAATTATAATAAGACTCGTATAACACTCTGCCTTTAGTCTCAATTTATTTTTATTGGCATAGATAAATTATGCAGAACTTAAGGAGTAACGCATTTAAATATAAATTAAAAGTTAATTTCCATAAAAAAGATATATATGCACCTGAAATCTGATTTAATTATCAGATAGTCACTTTAATTTCACTCTCAATGCCAAAAGGAAAGTTTAAAAGCCCTGTCGTTAACCGAACTAGTTCAAACATCCTGTACATGCATAAGCGAGAAAATTCCGACGATAAAGTATAATAATTGCATACATTTCGTCACAACGTCATGACTAATAAACCAGATTTGCGTCGTAAAAACATACTCTATTAATTGTGATTAAATTTTCATTTAAAACATAGACACTTCGCACGCACTTTAAACATATGTATGTACATAACAATAATAAAACCCGTTTGAAACTTATACAATTTCTTTTTTATAAATTTTTTAGGACGATTGTTCATTATTAACTTTCATTTTACACATTTTCACACCTTACACCCTTTGACATATATTTGCAGTTGAAAAAATAGGTAAAAATTTGCAATATTTGAATAAGTAATGAGATTGTTACAAAATCATTCTGGTGAATAAAAAGATTCATTTCTCCTAAATAATAACAAGTCCGAAAAAGTAAGTATCTAACGGTGCGCGATATCTTAATGCTCTGAATACCAGCCAAATGACAAAAAACCGATTAAGAGATCTGAAGTTGTCTGATTAAAAGTAGTATAATACTTAATACAAAATATATTACTGTATAATATGTAAATATACATACTCTCACATACCTACATGAATGTTTTTTTTACAACTTCCCCTATCATATTGCTTGACTTTGAGCACATCACTATGGGATACATTTTCCTGCGAAAGAGTTCTAACTAATATACTCCGGATACAATTAAGATGTTCACTAAAACTTTCATTCTGATACTTCATCATCCCTCATCAAGATACTCGAAAGATTTCGGCAGCCCGACAGAATACTGAGTGTTCCGACATCCGTTCTCACAATTACCCAACACGACTGAAACATTTTGTTTATCGACGACAGCCTGGTAGGTTGCGGTTCATAGATAAAACACGATCAAAACATTACAACAAACCTGCGCGCTTATATTTTATTGTTGTAGAATGACTTGTATTTGACCCTGGTGGTCATCTACATTTTCTTGGACGATTTCCGATTTTCGCGCACCGTGCACCGCCCAAAATTACCCAACTAATGAGTTTCAGTTGCAATTAGCATCAAATAGGTGCGGTATGAGTCAGGTTGTCATACACCTTACGGGTTCTTGAATAATTTATTTTACATTTCTTGGTCTTGGTCACTGATTGCAAGCGGTAAATTAGTTATCTTGCCCTCTCCAGGGGTAATAATCGCATCGTATATACTGATTTATCAAGTAATTAATAAAACGCGTCAAGTTAAACAAGGGTGAACGGGTGTATCAAAGCGAATTTCCGGCTGAAACGAATAATTCTTAGAATGCATAAAATGATAAAATTGGTAATGAGAGAGAGAGATAAGACAAGGATTATAAGGGATTTAAATTGTTTTTCCAGTACATAATGTATGTTCGAGCGCACGTCAAGCCAATTACCTTTAACAATTAAGCTGATCTTAATATACTGAATCACAAGTTTCTATACAGAGTGCTTCAACTTTGAAATTGACTGGTTAAATAACAAGTCAGAGACAAAAGCACAACTTTTAGCTATGTCACAAGCAAGCACTCTTAACACCGGTTTCGGACCTATTATTCGTCATTACACTAAAATAAGTCACAACTAAAAATTGTTACCATGCATGTATGACTGAGTAATCAGTCAAAAACGTTTTCAAAGTTAATAAAATTTTTATTATTATTATTATTATTTAGAACTTTTTTAACAAGATAAATGTGTATATGCGTGCTTGGGTTAGTTTATGTACACATATACCAAAAACATGCGTCTATTTATGTTAAGACCATCAACATATATCTTAAAACATAAAATATCTGAAATTTAAACAAATTTTCAAAATACTAACACTAAACTGTTCACACTAAGTAAAGACTTAGAAAATTATTGAGAATTTTTTATATCGAAACAGAATATTCACTGAAATGTCAAGACATTATTATATGATTTCCAGTGACCGCTTTGAAGTTATTATTTAACTTCAAACTGAAGACAAATATCAAATCAGCCTATTAGAGTCTCGCCATGTTTGTTTTTTACCACATTCATAATTTCAATCGATCTTTATTTATAGGATAAACATTGTCATTGCCACTAACGCATTAGACGAAATAAAATAAACAAAGCTACGGTTAAGTATATTGCAAAGTACCAAGCTTATAATGTTATAAGTGATTAGGGTGACGAAGTTCCTAATAAAGGCCAAATACAAAATGCTTTTAGCTAAGCGGTAAGGCTCGCCCCAATACACGGCACATTATGTTACTATATTTCCAGCAACTTTCTTCTACCTAATATAAATCGCATAACTTCAATAAGCATCGTATCTAAATCCTCTAGTAAACCTTTTTTTATATATTAAACTGAGCTTCACATGAAGACCCATACAAAAATGTTAATTAAACAAGACGCGAAAGCGATTTAAATGTTTGGTAGATAAACGCACACATAGAGTAAATGCATCAAATAAAGAATAAAACTAGGAAAAGAAAATATAACTTTTTACTGATACTACAGGATGAATTTAATATATTTTCTTTAGAATAAAGGCTGCTATTATTATTAACAAAACTTGGGATACACATATCACAAAATAACATTATTTCATTCATAAAATCAAGTAAGACATTTAATTAATCAACATAAACGCCAGCATAAATTTGAAAAAAAAAATGCTAAATTGATCCAGACTGCATTGAAATTAGATATCAACTCAACTACCCCCATTATCTAAACAAACTCTAATAGTTTTGTTGGCTTCCTTTTAATGGCATTAAACATAAAACCTCGATGATTTATGTTAAGGCGTTAAACTTCCCGATGCCGTTTTTCTCGTATATATTTCTATGCTGTTAACTTGAATTAATTTTTTTAGATAATCTCATAATAAGATGCCTGGAGCATTGAAATTATTTGCTTCGATAAAAATTCCTGTTGTTGCAAAAGTAGATTCATTAGCAAAATCGGTTCACCGTGTATAATGTTTCCATATATAATAAAATCAAGGCATCAGTTTCATAAACACTTATCTTTACTTAGATTATGCACCGGATGAAGTCTGAAAAATGCCAAATTCGATATGATCAATTTTTGATCGATAATTTTTAAATAATTCATCCTCAATCTTGAAAGTTGAAAACATAACATAAATACTTTCTGATTAAGTGAACTGCATGTATTTCAACTTACACCGATTAAAAAAACCTTATTTCCCTGTGGATGGTTTGTACCTGACGAAAAACACCTGAATCGTGTTAGTCGATTCATAATTTTACCAACTACGTAACTAATTAAGATTGGGTCAAAACAAAAATGGCAGGAAAAGAACCGACCATTAGAATCTATAAGAGCTTCGAATCATAAATGGTGTGGCCTCAACATTTCTACCAAGGTCAGCCTTCCAAGGTAACTATTTCAAGCATTCAATATTATTAGAGTCGAGAGAAAAGTTGTGAGTTTTGCATGTTACCTGGTAATATAAAAAGTGATCACGTCATACTACTGAAAATAGTCCAACATCCTAATATGCTTCAATTTTAACCCTTAAAAATTATTATAACTGAATGCTTCGTACGCTTCCCCGATATTTTCTGTAGTTAACTAATTGAAAAAATAATTAAAAACGGACATTGTATAAATATCTTAAACACAGTTAACTCACAATTCAAAAACAACGTATTTTCCTACTAAACATGGCAATATAATACAAAGGCAATCTATCATGCATGGGTGAGGCATTTAATTAATACTCAGCCCATGGAGTTTTATAGAACTCGCAGATATTTCGCATTATTCGTTTTTCTATTTGTGGAAAGCACTTATTCCGCGGCGAAAATTACCATTAGGAAAATATTTAGGTCGATGTGTTGTTAGATCCACCCAAACTACAATCATTGACTAGATGTATTATAGCAATACACATTTATTCATGAACTGTCAAGCATGTTTGAAAAACTTAGTATATTATTTAATTTGAATTATTTTTATTAATTATTATTTTCATACTTTCGATGAACTTTTGCTTAATTTAGACTATTCAAACGTTATTATTAACTAGGAATCCATTGTATGTTCAATAAAAACTATATACAAACATTGGCACAAAAACGTTAGTTAGCATACTCAGACAAATTAAAATACACTACCATTATGTTACTACAAGCAAGTGGCGGAATATTATGTCGGTTATAAAAAAAATAAATTATAGTGTCATTTTTGATTGAGGTATATGGAATCGAGTCTCGTATAATTAGTTGTAATTAAATCAATTAAAATCACATTAATGGCAACTGAAAATTCATCGATGTGAGTGATTCAAAAATAACATATAATTCTTAATTATTTTAATATTAAATAAACAATGATAAATTCAAAACATCCGATTCCTTAGAAATTAGACGGGAATGTTAATACTAGCTGTTCCTTTTTTAGCTCTAATTACACAGCAACACAACAATAACTATATTTCAATGACTTCTGTCGAATTTCTAATCTATTAATGGTTGAATGATTAGGTGATCAAATAATACAGAAAAAAATTAATATCGATTTTCTGTTAGTTGTTATTGTGTTAACTGTAAAGCAATCATAAAAATAATGTCCTCACCATCTTGTTCAATGTTAAAACTAGAAAAATGTAGTGGATGACAATCTGAAATCAAATTAAAAGTATAAAAACATATCATAAGGATACAGCAATAAATATATACAGTAACCGTATATAAGTTCCTGAAATAATACTATTGCTTATTGGATTTCAATAGAACGTTGACTAACACTACGTATTACTTAGTATGCTGGCGAGTCCGTACTTATATTCCTTTCTTGAAACAAATTGGCATTTGCAAATAATTACGACATTAAACATTTCGAATGCGTAACTAAAGAACAATCTAAGGAAGGTGTAAGAGAAATTCTGATACGAAAATAAAGGCTTCTATGCCATACGGCATCTGAGACAATTTTAAATATATATAGCACAGAATCTCATTATAGAATATAAAACAGAAATAACTCGCGTCAAATACTTTGAATTCCCTGGGGTCGATGGAAATTGCATCAGTATAAAGATCTGAGAGAATACTAGAAAAATTATAGAAAAACCCAGACAGCAGCAGATATATCATAATTATGAATTAGTTTTATGATTCCTCCTGAATTGCTGTATTCAATAAATTGATAAATATTCAACGAAAGCCATACAGGGATCTCCAGACCATAAAAACCACACATTGGTTACAGACATTGAATTTCAAATTAACACTGTTAGTGAAGTTTGGATAATTAGTGTTTTTGCAGTTCAAAAACCTCTTTAAAATTGTATATTCAGACAGGTTGTTTTAAAATTTTCAAAATGGAGATGCAGTCATACAGGTTAGAGATTGATAATGTGGACAGCTCCTCTATTAGTCTAAAAATATCTATCTAAAAAGCAAAAGCTACAGATCTGCAAACGATTATTTTTGTAAAGGAAATAGTTGAAGTTTACAAGCCTTCTATTTATAGGAGTGACTTAAATCGGCACGACTTTCACTTAGAATCATTTTTGAATTTAGTATCAGATCAACGAATTGACGCAGATTCTAGTGAAATGATGAATAAGAAAATATATAATATAATGTAATTATTAGATAACGTTCCAAATAATGCTATTAAACCATAATTTAAAATAACAATGAAGCGAGCATTGGTCCAATAATTTCCTAAACTAACATAATGAAACATTATTGGAAACAAATTGCAAATAATTTGGTCAATCGTGTGTAGGTTCCTATGGAAATCGTTTTTAATTGTTACTTGAGTAACAGATATTATACATCAATGTGAAATAAGATGTTCAATTTAATATATACAAGAC